ATTTTGCTTGGCTTTCGTTGCGGGATTATTTCTGGTCTCTGAGAACCAGCGGCATTATCACTTCCCTGCTGTCGCCCTTGAAAGGATCCAACACCACCATTGGCAGATCTGAGTCACTCAACGGCATCCAATGCAGACCCATGATCTCTTGAATTTCCTGATGTTGAAATATTCAGCATTTTAAAGTTCGCAATTATAAATTATTCTTTTAAAAAAATCCCATTATGCTTTTGACGCTCTAATACCTCTTACGACTCTCGAACTAGTATAAGCCAGAGTTGTACCGTAGATTTCAAGATTGTGTCTACGCAGATTGTTTAGCCATTATCTACGTAATGAACACACAGTCTTTTTTCATGCAGACAGCATAAACTATGTAGAATGCCCCCTCTCCTTATTCGTAAATTATATTTAAAATATACAAAAAGAAAGAATAAATTGAGATTATTTTTTTATATGTGTTTTGGATATTACTTATAAATGCAGTATTTAAAAAGGACAACAAATTGCATGAAATTTTGTTATGTGATAAATTGAACTCTGAAGGTAAGAACGTAACAAAAGAATTCTATTGATTCTAACTTATTTAGGAAACAACGTTTATAAATTTACTTTAAATTTATACTATAAAATTTATATTATATGATACTGTACTACTAAATCATTTATTTATTTATACTATTAAATTTATATTATATACATTTACTCAGGATTTTAAAGCAGTTAAGAATATACATTTCTTTCCATTAATTTCTGAGCTATATGTTGTTTAAACATTTATAGATTAGTCATTGTGTACATAAATGACGTCTCATACATAGTTTACGTTGTCTACATGCAAAATATCACAATTTACGTGTAACTATTCAACTTTGATAATCCTATCAATGGCTACATTCAGCATAGAAAGCTGCTTTGGAACTGTTGTAAAATTCATTAATCTAATCGGTAAATGATCTTAATCGTAGCTAAATCTAAGAGAATATACCAATAAGATTCACAAAAATTCTGTAGCAGCTTTCTTTACTGAACGCAACCAATTTGTGCATGTGCATGTCGATAAGGAAGTAAACGAAATATTTTTTAGAAAACTGCAGCTACGCTATTTTATCTAAAATGGCAATACTCACGTGTGTGATACTTCCGGTCTTATGCCACGATTCGTTTTCGGATGTGATATCACTCTTCGCAAAGGCCAGCACTTGAAGAGTGTTCCCGCGGAGACGCGCGATAGCTAACAGGTTCTCCTGATAATATTTGTGGCCCAAGAACACTATTTTCGTGAGTTTGGTGCACTTCCAGGCTACCAATACCATAGGATCCGGACTGTAATGGAATCAATGTGCCTTGATTAGACGCACATCGTCGGGAAAGCCGTGATACAGATAAAAAAGAAGAAGGCATGGAAAACATTTCGTTACCTATTTGGATCGTTTGGATCGAGTGTGGCTGGCATACGTTGTTTACGGTTTATCGAGTCTATCCAAGTCAAGGATCTTAGCGTGTGCGAGTACCACATTGATAGACGAAGTAACGCCCTAATATTAACGCTCTCACAGAACAGAACTTTCAGATGTGTCAATGGCATCGCTGAACAAAGTATATCAGTGTCCAAGACTTTAACGCCGAGATAAGAATGTATGAGGTTAAGTCTCAATTCGCACTGTGGGCTGTAACAAACAAGTCTGTTATATGCATCTCTTCATCAAGGCGCTACTTTTTACATTATGACCGAGATAGTTTCCAGTCTCTGTTGCACAATGAAAGCGATCATGAAGAAATGCAACTCACTTCTTTTGAACAAACATTTGCCAGGCCCTATTCGTCGTCCCTGGATAATCTTTCCAGCCGTGTACATGAATCACGAGTCTTTGCATACATCCGCTATCGAGCGCCTTCAACAAAGTATCACTGACAAATTCATAATCCAAAGTTAAAGTGGATAATCTGATAAACGAATTGAAGATAGAGTTATCGAGCTCGTAAAGCTCATAATAATCGGGATCGTCTCTGATGGACGCCAGGCTGAGGTGCGTCAGGTGTTTGGCGTGGTGGAGACGCAGAGGCTCCAGAATTTTGCTCGCGTTCGCTGTCAGTTCTTCTGAGCACCCCAGACTTAGAGCTTCTAGGCGATTGGAGGTCTCGATCATTTTTACTACACATTCCGTTAGCGATATGGGAAAATAATAGCTGCTAAACAGATAAACAATAACACAATCTTGTAGAATACAACTTTTTTAGATAAGATTAGAGGAAAATTGATAGATTTGAAAAAAAGGCATTGTTGAATAGAACCATATTTGCACAAAAACATTCTTAGATAAGTTATATAAACAATACCTAAAAGATAGGGAAAGAAAAGAAAAATGGAAAGATAAAGTCATTGAAAAAGTAAATGAATTCAAATATTTAGAAATAATATAACTAAAAAACTCTTCTTGAGTATATCAAACAATAAATTAAAGACCATTAGAGTTAACGCACAGGTTGTATAGTCATA